AATACACTTAGATGGCACTACTTGAGAGGTTCTGGACTCAGGGGCACAGTGTTCAAGCAAGCAAAACTGTGAAAGAAAACTAGAGGTGTGTGTACCACTGGGCAAATATTAATTTAAGACTTACAGGAGGCAAGAGAAAGTGTGTAAGATGTATTGAATTAGAGGAAGATATGGATTGTGTGCATGCATGTGTTTGTTTGTGTGTGTATGTGTGTGTGTGTGTGTGTGTGCATTTAAGTTTATAAGACAAGAGTGTTAAGCAGGGCTGATTAGCACAAGCCTGTTATCCCAGCACTTGGGAGGATAAGACATGAGGATAAATGTGATTCTGGACACCATGGACTATACAGCAAATTCCAGGACAGGCTCCAAAACTACATAGTGAAATCCTGTCTCTAGAAACCAAACATACAATGGAAATAACATGAAATGAAATCACAGAGAGTAAAAAGTTTCAAGGCCAACAAGATATTACAGCTCTTAGGGAAAGATCAGATGATTGTGGAACCCACATTTTAATGCAAATGATGGATAAGCCCACAGGTTCAAGGTCATGGTGTTGCAGAAATGGAAGTCCAGAGAGAAAACCTGAGGTGTGCTTATTGGCTTATTTAAAAAAAACAAGTTGGGATCACAAGAAGTAATTGAAGGGGAGTGATATGTACCAAGAGAAGCCAAGATGACCAAACTTGAGTGGGTGTGTGGCAGTGGGGACAGGTGGGTGTTTGTTTGAGTGTTAGTGTGTTTGTGTGTTGGGTGTGTGTGTGTGTGTGAGAGAGAGAGAGAGAGAGAGAGAATGAGAGTGTGTGTTTGTGTGTGTGTTTGTGCGTGTGCATACATAGTTTTGGAGAGAGGGAAACAGAGAGAGAGGAGTCATAAAGAGATATAAGACAGAGGGAGAGAGGGAGGGGTGAAGGGAGCATGAGACAGAGGGAGGGATTAAAAACAAAGTGGATGTAACCAGAGGATAATCTTGGAAATAAACAACCAATGTGCCAAAGAGATAAACCCCAAGGATAATCCGTGGCCCACTTATTTGCATAGGGATCTTTGTGAGAGAAAGATGCCTAGGTACAACTGGCTTTGGGAAGAACAGGAAAGAGCTACCCACCAGGTCTTGGGGCAAGGTTGCTATGTCCTGCAAACCCACAAAGAAAAAGCTCTTGACTTAATGATGCTCATTTGATTAGCCTTGCTCACCCTGTATCAACTGCACAAATAATGGAAGGAGAAGGGATTCTATCCCTTTCATCTTCAGGCTGTGTGAGCAGGTAAAATACATACAACCTACCTCTAGACTGGACTCCCCAAAACACACACACGCAGGCACACACACACTATGGTGAGCTCAGTATACCCAGAGGGACTCTTCGTTCATTGGGGCCACTTGTAAGGGAGGCCATGGTCAGGCAGCCATAGGGCTCTTTTGGAGGAGGGGATCATGCATTTTCTTTTCTGGGAGTCATGGCAGTAGGCAGGAATGCTGTCTGAACCCTTTCATTCAAACCCTCACACACCCTCAGCAAAGAGCCAAGCTTCCCTAATAAAGTCTGTTTGGTAGTTTGTAACTTTTAGCTTTCTTTGAGCACTGCCAGAAGACTTGGAGTAATCCACCTGGATCCATAAAAACCAAGAATTCATGCCTGAGTTATGGAAAAATTTGGGAAACACAATTAGTAATTCAGGTGCTATGAAGTGAGCATTCAAATATCTCCTTTGCACAGAAAGTCCTTTAATGTGATCTAGAAAAAGTGGGCAAATTCAGGGAGGTAGAGGTGTGGACATATTGAGTGTTTGTTCTACCGATGGCCCAATTTTAGTTCTGAAGCATTGTCAACAGAGTTCAGGGAGTATTTCTTCATGAACAGCACTTCCTATTTAACCAAATTACAGGCGATAAAAAGAATCAAGAACAAAAGTATTATAATGTCATACAGAAAAGCCTTTAATAATATACACATCCATCCATTATAAAAATCATGTGGATTCTAAGTGCTGAAAGAAAATATTTCAACATAAGAAACATTCTGCCAGACAAATACATACAGAAAAATTATACTGCAGGGTGAAATACAGAAATCAGCTTCATTTATATTGAGGATACAAGAGTGTGACAGAGAAAATATATAAAAGAAAAATTAATAAGAAGACAGTTTATTTTGGGTTGTTTTCTATCTCCTTCATAAATCAAGTTGAGGCAAATTTAACAGTATTATGCTACTATTTGTTTCTTATTATTTTTTCTAAATTATGACATAATAAGGCTAAAGAACTTACAGACAATAATTTCACTTAGTTAATTTACCATGCCATAGGTAGTAAGGTGTTCCAATTGGAAGCTCATACACTGGTCAGGTGGTTTGGTAATCTGAAGGGCTTTCTAGTCCTCCCTTAGTCTTGTGATAAACTTTCTTAGAAGAAATTCTCTATGTGAAACAGAACATACAGGGTTGATCTGGGGGAAGGGAAGTGTGTGGGAGGGAATGGGAGGAGTGGAGGGAGGGAAAACTGTGGTCGGGATGAAATGCGTTAGAGAAGAATAAAAGTTTAGAAATAAATTAGTAAAATTTCAGTCAAAGAAACTGTCCACAACCCCTCCTCCCCAAGATCTTCCTTTTCAGACCCTATTATCCTGCCTCTCACTTGTGTCGGGGGCTTTGGGACGTCTGACAGAACAGGAGGATGTGCCACTCTACTGAAACATACATTTAGATGTCTGTAGCAGATATTCTGTTCTTACCACATTCTGAGACATCAGGCTTTTGGATACTCTCGCACAAAATTCTCCATTTTACTGCATTATCAAGGTAGTTTGTTAGAGAAAAATATTTAGAGTAACTCCAAATAGGTAGGTGTTTAATATTTGTTCAAAGAATAAACGAATCCATTTCTAATTGTGGATTTGTGTATCTTTTATAAGTCTGCAGTTCTTGTAATTTTACACATGATGAAATAAAACTTCAAATAGCTGATACCTGACTTTTGATTGCAACTTTTCACATACTTTGAGTTAAGATGAGTTAATATGATGAATTTACTTAGCACAAAATCAGTATTGGGCCACATAAATTTGAATCTGGGCTTTATCTTTAGAACTTTGGAGAAGTTCATTTTATAATTTTGGCTCCAAATTAATCATTTTAAAAACAGGGCATAATATGGCCTGGCGGTGGTGGTGCACGCCTTTAATCCCAGCACTCGGGAGGCAGAGGCAGGCAGATCTCTGTTTGTTCGAGGCCAGGTTGGACCAACATCCTCCAAAAAAATACAGAGAAATCCTGTCTCAAAAAACCAAAAAACAGGGCATAATAAAGAATTTGTAAACTTTGGCATACCTTGGGGTGGAGTTGCACAACTTTAATTCCAGTATTCAGGAGACAGAAGTCTTTGGATTTCTGTGAGGTCAAGGAAAATCTGATTTACAGTAAGGACTAGGTCAACCAAGGCTATTAGACAGTAAGGACTAGGTCAACCAAGGCTATTAGTGAAACCTTGTCTCAAAAATAAATAAACAAACAAATATTTAATATTAACTTTCATCATTTTGGGTTACAATAATATACTTTAAATATTTTTATATGCAAGTGGATTTTAGAAGTATCATTTAAATCATATTTCCACTTAAAGGCACAGATAACTGATTTTCATATTCTATCATAAACAGAAATAGCTTTGTGTTTTAGGAAGTCATTTCTGCATAGGTTTTGTAGGTAGACATTAAGTGAGACTACAAAGTCCCTAATTTATTTCAACCATGGCCGCAGGATTAAATGGCTCAAGTGAAAAAGATTTGGAGAAACATTGAGACTAATATATGTATACTTTCGGCAGGTACATCTAATGTACCTAGTGTGAAGATCTGTTGGATTGGGCTAGAAGAAACAATGAGTAAACCAAATGTGGTGGCCTCCTTGACCTTTATCATTAGAATAGAGATGACACAGACCCAGAGAGCAAAACCAATATTTATAGGTATATTTTAATACCCTGCTGTTTTGAAATATTCTTTGTGAAGTTATGAATAATAAAATATTCCAAATCCAACTTGATATGGAATATACAGCAAAACAATATAAGAAATTCGAAAATGATACATCAGATAATTAATAGGACTTTGATAAGTGAATCCAAAGCTATTGAAATATTTGAAAAGTTAGACAAGGATTTCAAGTGTTTAGTTAAAAATTATCAATGATCTTAATGATGATTCAAGATGCAGATGAGAAATTCAGTACCTTGGACAAGACTTTCTGCAACCAGAAAGAACCTGAAGATAATCACACTGAAAGCCTGGGAATTAAAAGCTTCACAGGGAAGCACCAGACACTTCCTGCCACCAAAACCTGCAGAAGAACCTGGAGGAAGCACAAACCTGACAGCATTATTGGCCGCCAATTTGGGCTTGTTCCTCCACCCAACAGTAGAGAGATTAATCCCCGGGACTCTTCTAGGTCACATCCCCCTCTTTAGGTCTCATGAACATCAGTAGCCAAACCCTGCACCTGAATCCTGCAGAGGGACCTGGAGGCAGAAAGAAAGCAGCTAGCAAAATTCACTGTCATTCTGGTGAGAGCGAGTCAGACTGACAGAGAGGGAGAGAGAGAGAGAGAGAGAGAGAGAGAGAGAGAGAGAGAGAGAGAGAGAAAGGATGGAACCTTGAATTTATACCCATGAATAGAGAGAGATACACACCTAATAACTTCATGAAGAAGAGATGAGAAGACAGTATAAAGACGCATCCAACAACAGATAGACTTATGTGACAAAATCAGACTCTAGGGATTCTACACCAGCAAGACCTGCACATCCCAACACAGATGAAACAGAAGAGAATGACTTTAAAAAGAACCTCATTAAAGTGATATAGGGTCTCAAAGATGGTATGAGAAAATCCCTTAAAAATTGAATAAAATACAAACTTGAAAATGTAAGAAATTAATAAATCTCTGAAAGAAAGCAAGGAAAGCCAATAAAGGACAATCAAACAGATGAAGGAAACAATGCAAACACTTCAAGACCTCATCCAGATCCCCGGCAGCCGCGAGTTCGACGTGAGCTTCCGATCCGCGGACAAGCTAGCCCTGTTTCTTCGCGTGTACGAGGAAAAGCGAGAGCTGGAGGACTGCTGGGAGAACTTTGTGGTGTTGGGGCGGAGCAAGTCCAGCTTGAAGACCCTCTTCATCCTCTTCCGGAACGAGACCGTGGACGTGGAGGACATCGTGACCTGGCTCAAGCGCCACTGCGACGTGCTGGCCGTGCCCGTGAAAGTGACCGACAGGTTTGGGATCTGGACCGGGGAGTACAAGTGCGAGATCGAGCTGCGCCAGGGGGAGGGCGGAGTGAGGCACCTGCCCGGGGCCTTCTTCTTGGGAGCGGAGAGGGGCTACAGTTGGTACAAGGGGCAGCCCAAGACGTGCTTTAAATGTGGTTCCCGGACCCACATGAGCGGCACCTGCACGCAGGACAGGTGTTTCAGGTGCGGGGAGGAGGGGCACCTGAGCCCTTACTGCCGGAAGGTCATCGTATGCAACCTCTGTGGCAAGAGAGGGCACGCCTTTGCCCAGTGTCCCAAAGCGGTTCACAACTCCGTGGCAGCCCAGCTCACCGGCGTGGCTGGGCACTGAACGAGCGTGCGCCTGCTGGGGTGGGTGAACACACAGCCCCTTACCCTTCATAAGTGCCAAAATTTTCTTTTTAAAGATCATTTTTTATCGTTTTGGAAGGAGATATTTGTAAGACCTAACAGACTCTCTCTTATGCCTTTTTAAAACCTCGTGCGCTCCTTTCCGGCCTATTTGAAATGGTGAGTTTTACCAGGAAGGACTATTCGGAACTGTAGCGTACAGATAGGTCGCCTGTCCCCCTTTTCCTCACATCTCGGATTTGTTTTGGTACTTCGGTCGACGTCCCGTCGTCCCCTTTGTACTGTTTACTACCTCCCTCCTCACACGTTGTCTCCGTAGAAGATTCTTGCCCTTTGGGCTGCCTTGCTCATCTTCATGCGTCAGCCGGGTTTAGGGCCCAACGCGGGATACGCATTCCACCAAGTGTTTATTGAATCGCAAACGTTAACTGGTTTATGTCAAGAGTGCCTACGTTCTGCAGCTCTCCGCTGGACTCTTTTTCATTTGCTGCTTCTATGTGATACGAGAACTTGTACAAACTGTTGCTGGAAGTGTGTGATCTGAATAAGCTCTGAATGGTGGCCCTTGGCCACCTCCTAGCATAAAGCTGTATCTGCTTTGTGACAGCTCCTTATGGTGACTCAGAGACCCTTCTATAGGAGCTTGGAACCTAGGCAGTCCTGCTGGAAAAGACCCACGAGGTGGTTTTTGGTGGATTTTCTTTGGGGGAGGTTGCTTCTGTTTTGTGTTTTGGTTTGAGACGGGGTCTCCTTATGTGGCCCTGACTGACTTAGAACTGGCTGCATTGGTAGACCGACCAGGCTGGCTTCAAACTTAAGTAACCGTCTCACCTCTGCCTCCCTGAAGGGTGTTTTAACCTAATCCCTTGGTTTTCCAGCAGATGAAATGAACCCAGAGAAGTTAAATGACTGGGTCAAAGTACACAGCTGTGTGGTGCCTCAGATAGTCCATAGTGGAGTCCCCTGACCCCCAGCCCGGTGCTCACCCCACTACCTCTCACGCTTCACAACCATCTCCTCGACACCGGTGAGCCAAGTCCGTCTGCTCCCTCTGTGGTGACGATCCCAGCATGAAGCTGAAAAACCATCCCCTGAAAGCAGAAAGAGAAAGCTTGTCTTGCCACTTGATAGTACTAGGGCGCTGGGGAAGGACCATCGAACACACTCGAGGCTTCATGCATCAGTCCTTGGAGTAGACACCTTAAATGTTCCAGGACCTCCCCTCCCACCGTCACAGTACTCAGTGAAATGGTTCCCCTCAGCTAAGAAACTGCCATAAAGAAACTGCCATACGTTTACATTTGCACCTCTGCCTCAGCTACTAGGAACCCTAGAGAGCTCATCCGAAACCTTCAACCTCTGACCCTCAGGAGAACGGTGATTTTAACCCAGAATCATGAGTGAGCTGTAAACTCAAAAGCGTTCTTGGGGAAACAGGCCAAAACAGAGGGTCTGGGTCAACTAAGTGTTACCAAGTTCAAGTGAAAGACAGTAAACTGCTTTTTTTCAGTTTTTGTCTTTGCTGTTTTGCTATTTCCTTGTGGCTTAGAATGTAAAACCAATTGTTCAGATTTGTTCTGAATAAATATTTATCTTTCGTATTAAAAAAAAAAAACTGAAATAGAGACCATAAGAAAACAAGCTGAGTGCATGTTGGAAATAAAAAAGCTGAATAAACAATCAGGAACTATACATTCAAGCTTAACAAACAGAACATAAGAGATGGAGTAGAGATTCTCTGGCACTGCAGATAAACTAAGGGAAATAGATTCATCAACCAAAGAAAATCTTAAATCCAAGAAATACTTAAAGAAAAATATCCAGGAAATATGGGACACAGTGAAAAGACCAAACCTAAGAATAACAAGTGCAGAAGAAGGTGAAGAAGCCCAGCTCAAATGTGCAAAATATATTCAACAAAACCATAGGGAAAACTTTCCCAACCTGAAGAAGGACAGGCTTATGAAAGCATAAGAAGCTTACATAACACCAAATAGACTGGACCAAAAAAAGTGTCCCCTGGATACATAATAATCAAAACACCATATAAAATGAAGAAAGAATATTAAGAGCAGCAAAGGAAAGAGGCCAAGTAACATATAAAGGCAGACCTATCAGGAATAGAGTGGACTTCTCCACAGAAACACTAAAGGTTAGATGATTCTGGATAGACGTTCCACAAACACTAAGAGACAAGAGATTCCAGACCAGACTACTACACTCAGAAAATCTCTCTATCACTATAGATAGAACAAAACAAGATATTCCATGACAAAACCAGATTTACACAATATATATCCACAAATCCAGCTGTATAGAAAGTCCTAGAAAGAATATTCCAACCCAAGGAATTTAACTACACTCCAAAAAAACACCACCTCAAAAAATAAATCCAAAACAAACAAGAAAATCAGTGGTCATTGATATTCCTCAATATCAATGGTCTTAACTCACCTATAAAAAGACACAAGCAAACAGAATGGATACAAACACAAAATCCATCCATTGCTGCAAAAAATAAAAAACCTCCAATTCAACGACAGGAGTTTTCTCAGACTTAAGAATTGAGAAAAAATTTTCCAATTACATGGGCCTAAGAAGCAAATTGGTATACCTATCCTAATATCTAATAAAAATACTTCAAATTGAATTAATCAAAAGAGATGAAGAATGATATTTCATATTAATCACAGAAAAAATCCATCAGGATGAAGTCTCAATGCTGAACATCTATGCCCCAAATACAAAGGTACCCACATTTTAAAAAGAAACATTATTAAAACTCAAATTATAAATTAAACCCCACACACTTATAATGGGAGACTTCAGCATCCCACTCTAACCACTGAACAGGACCAACAGACAGAATCTTAACAAAGAAACAAAGGAACTAAAAGAAGTTATTACACAATTGGTTTTAACAGACAGCTATAAAACATTCCATCAAAACATAAAATAATATACCTTCTTCTCAGCACCACATGGAACCTTCTCTAAAATCAACCACATGCTTGTCAAAAAATCAAACTCCAACAGGCAAAAAAAGTTGGAATAACCCCCTGTATCTTATCAGAACATCATGGCTTAAAATTAGAATTCAACAACAACACAAATTGTAGAAGCCCCCACAAACTCATGGAAATTTAATAATGCTCAATTACATCACCCCCAGGGAAGGGAAGAAAGAGAGAAATAGAAAGAAAGAAATCAAACACTTCCTAGAATTCAATGAAAATGAAGCCACAGCATACCAAATCAATGGGAGACTCTGAAAGCAGTTCTAAGAGTAACGTTCATATCACTAAGTGCCCACATGAAGAAACTGGAGAATAGCCACACAACAGAATTAACAGAACATCTGAAAGATCTAGAACAAGAAGTAGCAAACTCACCCAGGGGGAGTACATGCCAGGACAAATTCAAATTGAAAGCTGAAATCAATAAAGTAGAAACAAAGAAAACAATACAAAGAATCAATTAAAAGAGTTGGTTCTTTGAGAAAATCAGCAAGAAAAACAAACCTTTATGCAATCTAACCAAAAGGCAGAGAGAGAATATTCTAATTAATAAAATCAGAAATGAAAAGGTGAACATAACAACAGAACTGAGAAAATCCAGAGATTCATCAGATCATACTTTGAAAATCTGTACTCCACAAAATTTGAAACTTTAAAGGAAATGGACAAATTTCTGGATAGATATCACTTACCAAAATTAAATAAAGAACAGATAAAATATTAATAAATCTGTAACGCCTAAAGAAATAGAAGCAGCCATCCAAAAAGTCTTCCAAACAATATAAGGTCAGGTTCAGATGGTTTCAGTGCAGATTTCTACCAGAAATTCAAAGAAGAGCTAATACCAATACTCCTCAAATTGTACCACACAATAGAAGCAGAAGGATCATTGCCAAACTCTTTTTAAAAGGCTACAATTACAATTACCTTAGTAAACAAACCACTCAAAGACACAGTTAAGATAGGGAACTATACACCAGTCTCTCTCAGGAACATTGATGAAAAAATACTCAATAATATACCGGCAAATCAAATCTAAGAACACATCAGAAAAATCATACACCATAATATGCAGGGAAAGATTTTAGATACCTGTGCCTCTTGGCACACCCAAAGTGGCCATGGTCAGAGCTAAGAATTTTGTAACAGCAATCTTCAAACACTTCGGAAAGAAATGGGAGCCCACTTCTTCAACTCCACCTGATATGACTTGATGCACCTGAACTGCCCTAATTCGATGATTCCATCTGATCTTATCCATCCATCTGATCCAATCTGATGCATCTGAAATGACAAGTGCCATCCTGAAACCAAATTGGGACTACATCACTCTAGACAACTCCAGATCAATGAACTGGTACAGCGCACCTTCTACTCTGTGGCCAGAGTCTCAGACAGGAGCTTCAATCAAGATTAGAACTTCAGTCAAGAACTTCAATCAAGGGAAAGCAGGGGACCACCTGATCCAACAGGACTAGGAATAACAAGCCCTGCATCTGAGCATGCTTTCTAGTGTCTGTGGATTGCCTGGGAACTGCACAGTTTCCAATCCTGGCCGGAGCCAAGAACCCAAGATTTCATGTCTTCTCTCCCACCAATGAGACCAGAAAACCAGCAGATCCAGCAAAGGGTGCAGGGTACCAGGTGGGAGGCTAAGCACCCCAGATTACTGGTCTTCTTCTTCCCCCACAGGACAAGAACAAGGACGATTAATAGAAGAACACCCAGATTATTGGACTTGCTAGCACCCATGAAAGGGTACTCTGGTCCCCGAAGCCCAGACCAGTAAGGGGCTTTTTCTGCACTCACTAGAAGAAGAGATGGGAAACATACAATACAAAAACACACTCAGCAACAGAAAAACAAATATGACACTGCCAGTTTCCAGAGATTCCACACCAGCAAGACTCCGACATTCCAATGCAAATGAAGCAGAAGGGAATGACCTTAAAACCACCTTCATGAAAATGATACAGACCATGAAAGAGCATATAGGAAAATCCCTCAAAGAAATGGATGAAAAAACGAACCAAAAATGCAATAAATGGAAGAAAAAACAAACCAAAAAATGCAAGAAATGGACAAAAGAACAAACTAAAATTTCAAAAAATGCAACAAATGGACGAAATGATAATCTGAAAATTACACTATGCAAACAGTGCAAGGGTTGAAAACTAAAATAATGAAAATACAAAACACAATCAGAAAAAAGGCTGGAAATAGAAAAGCTGGGCAAATAATCAGGTACTGCCAATACAAGCATTACCAATAGAATATAAGAGAGGGAATAGAGAATCTCAGTTGTGGAAGATACATTAGGAGAAATGGACTCATCAACCAAAGAAAATCTTAAGACCAACAATTCCTTAACTCAAAACATCCAGGAAATATCGGACTCCATGAAAAAACCAAACCAAAAAATAATACGTATAGAAGGTAAAGAAAACCTACTCCAAGGGGCAGAAAACATATTCAACAAAACCAGAGAACAAACCTTCCCAACATTAAGAAAGAAATGCCAATGAAGGGAAAAGAAGCTTACAGAACACCGTATAGTGTGGATCACAAAAAAATCCCCTCACCATATAATAACCCTAACCCTAACCCTAACCCTAACCGCAAATACACAGAATAATGAAAGAATATTAAGAGCAGCTAAGGAAAAAGGCCAAGTAACATATAAAGGTAAACCTTTCAGAATTAAAACTGACATCTCCATGGAAACTCTTAAAGCCAGAAGGTACTCGTTAGATATTCTACCAACACAAAATGACCACGGATGCCAGCCCAGACTACTATACCCGGCAAAGCTCTCAATCTCTATAGATGGAGAAAACAAGATATTCCATGACAAAACCAGATTTACACAATACCCATCCACTAACCCAGCCCTACAGAAAGTTTTGGAAGGAAAACACCAACCCAAGGAAGTTAACTACAAACACAAAAACTCAGGCATTAGAGAATCCCTCTCTACCAACAGACAACCATTCCAAAAAATAAGAACCAGCAATCAAAGGTCATTAATATCCCTCAATAATATTAGTCTTAATTTGCCCATAAAAAGGCACAGGCTGACAGAATGGATTCGATGACAGAACCCATCCTTCTGTTGCATGCAAAAAACATACCTCAGCCTCAAAGACAGACATTACCTCAGAGTTAAGGGTTGGGAATAGATTTTCATATCAAATGGCCCCAGGAAACAAGCAGGGGAAGCAATCCTAATATCTAACAAGCGAGATTTTATACTGTCATTTCATATTAACCACAGAATATATCCACCAAGATGAAGTCTCAATTCTGACCATATTTGCCCCTAATACAAAGTCATCCAAATTCGTAAATGAAACATTACTAAAACTCGGAACACACATAAAACTTCACACACTAATAGTGGGAGACTTCAACACCCCACTGTCACCACTAGACAGTTCAACAAGACAGAAATTTAACAATGAAACAAAGGAACTAATAGAGGTTATGACGCACTTGGATTTGACAGACATATATAGAACATTCCATCCAAACACGAAAGAATATACCTTCTTCTCAGCACCACATGGAACTGTGAGGAGCCGCCC